TGTGTGTGTGTGTGTGTGTGTGTTTTACACTCTTGATGTTGTAGAGTGTAACCCCTTCCTTGCGGTCCACTTTTTACTGCATTGTAGTTGAATTATTGATTTTATTTTACATAGTTGCAGTGTTAGTCACACCAGTTCACAGGTGTGTGTGTCCTCGCGTGTGTGAGTTGGTGTGTTGATTTTGCACTCTAGATGTTTTAGAGTTTCACCCCTTCATTGCTGTGCAATTTTATTCTGCATTGTGGGGGATTTGTAGATTTTACACACAAACATTTTCTGTATTTTCGATTTTTTTCCCCCATTTCCCATTCATTTCCTATGGTCGGTCATTTTTGACTGAAGACCATGAGTGTGACTTATTTTTTTACGACCACTTAGCTTTTTTGAATCATGCCCTCAATTTTTTATATATATATTTTTTTGTGTTCACATACCAAATGCCATAAAAGTCATCAAGTTTCGTACCATTCTGGTGAAGCTACGATTTAAAAAAATTCCAAATGTAAAATTCTCCAGTCAGAAGTGACCGAAGACCGCACAAGGGTTAAAGGTACGTAAAAAATTATAGGGTTAGATCTCTGCCACAATTCTGCGTGCAAAAAATCATATTTTGAGCGCACAAAAGTGCATTTTGCATGCACGCGATCTGAGTTTTGTGGAGAAAATGTTAATTTCGCAAAGGAAACAGTATTGTGAGCGCACTAAAATCAATTTTGCATTTAAAATAAGTTTTTGGATGTGTGCAGTTCACTAGCTTGCTCACCTGATGCCCGCCCTCAGTGCTCTATAAATGCCAACGGCTCGCTTGCTCAACACAATCCAGCGTTACAATATGCCATAATTCCAGCCAATCAGAGACGAGGCTGCTAAATTCTGATTGGCTGCCTTGACAACCAGTCACAACATTCCTTGCAAATTTAAATTGCATCATATGACCCCTTTAATGCATTTACTTACTTTAACCTTACTTGACAAAAAGTTCACATAATTTCAATGATTTCATTTTAATAATTTTAACAATTTAAATTGTATTCATTTCTTTATGTGTAAAACATTTTACTAGCGAACAAAATTAGTAATATTATATTTAGTTTTTATAGAATTCTTATTTGATGCCTTTAGGACCTTTAATTTCTTTCAAACACTATCAAAGACAATAGTAATTCCGTTACTATAAACAATACTCATACACATCTTTTAGGATATGTTTTTTTATTACGTTCGACAATCTGCACTGTAAAAAAAATTCTGTGAAATTTACGGTAAAAAAAACAGCAGCTGTGGTTGCCGGAATTTTACCGTCAACAATACGATAACAACGTTTTAGGTTTTAACTTAAATTTACAGTTAAATACCGTAATTTCATTAACTGATATAATGTTCTTGTAATAACTCAGTTCGCGCGCAGAATTGTGGCAGAGATGTAAGCCCATAAAAAATCACCACGGTCAAAATCAGGGTTGCCCAAACTCGGTCCTGGAGGGCCGGTGTCCTGCAGAGTTTAGCTCCAACCCTAATCAAACACCGGAAGCAGCTAATCAAGGTCTTACTAGGCATACTAGAAACTTCCAGGCAGGTGTGTTGAGGTAAGCTGGAGCTAAACTCTGCAGGACACCGGCCCTCCAGGACCAAGTTTGGGCACCCCTGCTCTAGGGGATGAAAGCGGCCCCCTAGCGGTAAGTTCGGATGAACGTTATATCAATTAGGCTACCAATACCAAAACTTAAAAAGAAGTTAAGAATTTTTTTTTTTTTACTGTGGTTCTTGCATATCCCTGCTGGGGGAAAAAACACTTAAAGCAGCCTGAGGTGGCTTACTCTTCTGAATTGGACTGTCTGGTGTGTATCTGGTTTAGGCTCCCTTAAACCAGTAAGGTGGCTAAGCTGAACAAACCACCTTAGACTTATTTGAAAGTCTGTGTGTGTTTTAATTATTTCAGCAGGGATGGTAACGTGGTTAGCCCATGTTTGTATACAGTATGTGCTCACCAACACTTCAGAGCTACTCCCATTTTCCTGACAACCCCTTTGTACATATTTTTGGACATAGGCACAATTTTTATTTTTTAGCTGTTGACCAAAACATATTCAAGTTACAGTTGAGGTTTGTAATAAACTGATAACCACCAAATGCAGGTGGTGATGAGAAACGCATTAATATTTATGCAATAATTATGATACATATTTCCCATTTAATATAGTAAAAAAAAAAAAATGTTTGTTTTAATTTTTCAATTAATCCAGTATTTCAGATTAAAATAGAGACTAGGCCTTTAAAATTCAATTTTAAATCAAATTTGAAGGCAGAATAGCACCCCCTGCTGAGAGCAAAAAAAAAGAAAAACCTGTAATTTCATGGTTTAACCACTAGATTCCTGTATAGGACTCTATACAGAGGCTTGTGATTTCCCTAGTTGTTTTTATACATAATTGTTTACTTTTATTAGGTTGTCTGGTCAAAATAATCCTTGTGAACTTTGGACTCATGTCCAGGGTTGCCAGGTTTTCACAGCAAAATCCGCCCAATTGCTACTCAAATCTAGCCCAATCACGTTTCGAGGTGGATCCCCCAGTAAAAATCGCATTCCGGTGGGGTAAAATACACGTTTTTGGCATTCTCAAAGACTACTTTTTGTCAAGGATTATATTTTTTGTTGTTTTTCAATTTTGATCTGAAGTGTAGGTTTTTGCATTATTATTACTACATTCAAACCTGAACACAGGTTACCCATTTTGTAACACAAAACATTAACAATCTATAAAAATGTAACAAAAATGAACAGCTTTATCAGAGCTTAATAGGTCTGATTTGATTTTAACCATAAAATCATTTAACCATGGTTATAGCCATACCATTTCATTTGAGGATGTATAAGTGTGACGTGACGTGACATGTGGCCAAGTATGGTTACCCATACTAG